GTGGAAGCCGCCAGGCGTACAAATAGGGGTTGACAGCAGAATTTAAGGATATGGTTAATTTCTGAATATCTCTTAACCAATGTACCAGCAGACAATTACAGCTTAAACAGAAATTAAGCAGGTAAATTATCACACAGGCAGGTACAAAGGATACAAGAAAAGTGAGAAGAACAATCGATAACGTCTTGGCTACTTTGCTCTCTTTCTGTATGTTCTTTATCTTCTTTGCGGATTGTAGTTTTTCACACATTGTGTTTTCAACAGCTCTCTGATCTTGCCAAAATTTCGAGCGCTCACGCAAGCGTCCGAGAATACTTCGGTGAACAAATAGGAGAATGAAAAAAGTGCTAAAAACAGCAGTGTTGGCAAAAATGAAAGAGTACAAAAAGAAACCGAGTTTGAAGTATAAAAGAGAAAAACCCAGCGACACAACCCAAATGACCACCGAAGTTACAATGGCGCGTTTGGACGTAATCTTTGTACTGTATTTGACTGGCGATGTTACCGAGGCATACCGGTCCGCCGCTAGTGCTGCCAGCGTTAAGACTGATGCCGTACCCAGAATGAAATAAAGCATATGGACCATGTGAGAAGTCTGTAAGTTATCAGCGTTATTTATCGTGCCACATGCTTCTCTAATGTGGACAGCTATCATGGTGGGGTCCAATAATAATCCCACGAGTAAATCTGTCCCGGATAAGCTCAGTAAAAAGTAATGGAAAGGCGTTTTCATTTTTCTAAATGGATCCCGCATAATGGCTAAACAAACAAGAACGTTTCCAATCACAGTTGCAAGGCAGAAAACAGTTGCAAGTGAAGCGGTAAAATACGAAATTTCTTTGTGCAAATGGGTGTTCGCGCAAAGTTTTGGATCAGAGAATGCCATTGCGTCGGAAAAATTTGTCCAAAAAAAAATGTTTGACGCTGAATTACTTTGTTTCCTTTAGAAGACACATCTACCAAATTATAAACAAAGACTTTAACATAACTAATTTACATGTTCTTAAATGGATTCGTGTTAACCACTTCTGATAAAATAGACTATATTACACCTTAGTTATTAGTTGCATCAAAGTTTTTCCGGTGAGCTTTTTTGTATTGCTTGCTTAGAAAACGACTGACATCTGGGAGCTTCCAAAGTGAACTTTTCCCGGCTTCCGTGACCAATGTTAAATGCTACGCCTCATAACCGGCGAAACCAAGTACTTTGCCGTCAGTTTTTGGGTCCAAGAATTCTTCTCCTGACGATGACTAATGTAAAAAGTATGTCGAGACGTAAATTCGTTGAGGCTCACCGGTAGATAGTCCAAGGGACCGCTATCGACCTGGGACGTCTGAGGTTTAGAATCAGGCCTGCCAGAGAAGCAACTACAAATAGCTTCTTTTACGTCCAATACCTTCCTGAAAGCTGCCTTTGTAGCTCTTAGTTGTTACTGTATGTATATACGTCAAATGTCCGAACGAACTGAAAAGAAAAAAATGACAAATTAACGATCACCCCAGTCAATTTTTTCACATTAATTGGTGAAAACACAATGAGTCATTCCTTCTCTCCTTTGCACAAATAGCACCTGCGCGCAAGGTTAGGACAACAAAAAAAGGATGAACGATTTTTAAGTCCGCAGTGACTGAACTTTGATAAACCACACATGCTTTTCAAGATGATGATACCATTCAATGGAAAAGCCTAATAATTTTCGAAAACACTATGTATTTATCCAATCAAACAACCTTCTCCAAAGCTTATATACATAATTGTCATCAAATGCACAATAATGAGCTCAATCCTTTCCGAAGTATATTTCAGTGGCGCGGTTTATAGCCTGAGCAAACAGTTGACATTTGTCGACGCTATCACTGGTTTCCCCGCCAAATGACATCTGAGAAACGAGCGCAGAAATTTCATACTGATGACACGTCACTACCCTGATCTGATTGGTCGTGCCGCGAGGGAAATTTGATTCAACCAATCAGAAGCACTACCCAGATGTGGGTAGTGACTCGTTATCAGTATGGAATTTCTGCGCTCGTTGCTCAGACGTCATTTAGGTTAACTTCGAAACTTACTTTTTCGAAAATTTGAGCCAGAAAATTAAAAAGGCTGCCGAAAATTCTAGGTGACTTTTTTAGGGTAAAAATCCGTTAAAAATGGGCAATTGACTCCATTTTGGTCTAAAAATAAGGGGGGCGGGCCCCAGGCCCCTTCCCTGGTCAGCCGTTGGGTTTCTCTTTTGCGTGGCTTTTAGTGTTTCCATGGTTTCTGCGAACGACTTCGTAAACGCTAAGCCATGCAAGACAGAAACCTCTGCTCGCAGGTTAACGAACTTTAATTCTAAATTTTTCCTCAGCTTATCAATATGAATCACCAGGCCGGTTTCCTACTGCCCGCTGGGTTAGTAGGTTTATTCTTTGATATTCAGCCTTAGTAAGAAATTTAAAAGCAAGAATTTAAATATGTCAACTGAGCTAAGTTAATCATTGAAAACAAGACTGTCACAATAATCTGTTCGACAATAAAATTATCGCACTCTATGGATGGATAGCTGTCGTACTTTTCTATGGTAGGCTGTCACAATTCTAATTTAGTAAGTTGTCGCGCGAATCGGTAAAACCGTATGCACGAGTTATTATCAACTGTAGATTTAATAACAACACATATTTCAAAATGCAAAAATTGAGGACAAAGGTGCACAGATGTTACAAATTAGAGTGACAAATTTATTACAAAGTTTAGCAATAGTCATGAATAGTTCGTAGTGGAAACAGTGTACAACAAAACCTGCTCAACATCAGAGCAGAATAAAAGTCAATAAAAAGTTAATAATAATTGTCAAAAGGTAAACTGAAGACAACTTCAGGGACTGATGATCTAACGCAACAGCAGATAAATTTGCATGCAATAATCTGTCGAGAAAATTACCTGTAAACCGGTTGCAGAAAAATTAATGCGTAAAAATGATGGCTTTACAATCAAAATGTTTTTCAAATTTGCAAAAAAAAAGAAAAACCTTTAATTCATTAGCCGTCAGCTAATTTTCTAAGTTTAAAAAGGAGACAGAATTTTAGAATTTAAATGATTGACTCTTCGGTTAATTTGTGGCCTCCAAAAGTTGGAAACATTGTATATTTAGCGGTTGATCGATACCAGAATTTTATCCAGACACAACTAAAACCTTTGCATCGCCACGTATGATTTGGGCTGCCATTTTTATAAGGCTTTTGGTTGTTCAAATAGGTACTTAGATATGCATCCTCACCGGCACCCAACGACTCGTCTGTTTTCTGTGAAATATCTGTTCGGAGAGGCAAATCTTGCCTGGAAGTTTCCATAGGTTGAGGAAGGCTAAAAATTCCTGGATGACCGTTCCATTCATAGCTCATTCATGTACAATTTTCGAAGCTTAATATCTAATGCATTTCCTACGATTTTCTGAAGTTTAATTTTTCCCATTTCACTCCCCAGGTTAGGCTGTTTTTAGAGAAAGGAAACCTAAAATTTTCGGAATGGAAAATGCGATGCAGAGAGGAATAAAAAAAACTATCACTTTCGTAAAACTTTAAATTGCAGCTAAAATTGTCGGGAAAATAATTCTGAGTTATTCTGAAGCCCTTGTAATTTCGAAAAGACTCAAGTTGCCCTGGGATGACAGAACAGATATCAATTTTTTAGCCCCACTGAGAATACATTTCTAGAGATCTAAAAGTACTCTGGATAACCTAAAAAGAGTTTTCAACCTTCTTTGAGCCGTGCATCCTTACCTCGGCCTTTTTCAATGAGTGTATCTTCTACCAAAGCAGATTCTTCCTTGACATCAGTGATATTTAACCGGCAAGAATTTTGCAATTTAACGAGTGGGAGGTCAGTTCTTAAACAGCCAGAATACACCTGCCAGTGGCTGTGTGGATTGATTATCTATTCTAATACGTTGCTTCCCGTAATAACCTTGCCTTATAGGGGAGGATCAAATTTAGCCAACGACTGTCTTCATATTCGAAGTGATAGATGTTCTTCGGTAATAAACTAGAGCCTAAATGCCGATTCTTCCCTCGTTTGATCACTAAGCGGTAGCCCGTCTCATTTTTATCTCGCTTAGTTTGTCAGGTCAGAATTTAAACGACAGACAATTATTTTGACGATGTCACCGCTATGTAAACTAAACGTGACTCTTAGAGTGGCATCTTTCAGGTTGGTCTCCGCAAGGAATTGAAATACAGTTTTACCTCAAATATCCTGACCCCTTTCAAGTGGGTGCCCCAGGGCCGGTCGATGTGCGTGTCCTCCTGGGAAACTCATTTAATGTATGGTCTAGAGGCGAAGGTGCTTCAGCGCGGAAATCAAGCGAAACGAACGAGGAAAGCCAGTCAATGGGGAAGCTGGAGCCGGAAGGCGGAAAGGAAGGAAGGTTTCCCCCGCCTGTCACCAGTTCTCCCCTCGGCCATTTCGCTCTCTCCAGTCCTGCTGAACGTCGACTCGATTGGGTGTAGAAAGACTGCTCGCAGTCGTTTATTAAAAATAATAGATATTATAATAGTCATTAAATCCAATCATCGTTATCACAAAAAAGGAAACACTTTTTAATTAAGTTACGGCAGGCTAGCTACAGGATAAAAATTGTTTTCTTCATACGGAGGTTATTAGAAAACTGGTCCATATAGACGGTATAGACGATGAGGAGTTGCAAACAATACGAATATTTAGTAACTTACTACACTAACCGAGAATTAAAAAGGCAGGTGCATTACAGAACATCATACAATAAACAAAGCAGTCAGTTAGTTTACATTGCCTAATTGTACTCCTTAAAAGAAGAATGTGTGTTATGATTTCTTTACATTGTGATATCTTCATTCAAAAAAGAAAACTAATGAGCCAGGAAAATAATTTTTCTTCAACTTCATTGCCGAATTTGGTAGGAAATAGACGAAATACGAAAAAACCCCCAGCTGCCCGAAATAGACCCTCCCTATACACCCCATATCATGGTCATAAGCTTTCTTTTGTCGTACTGTGACAAATGATAAATTCTACCATGATTTAGCAAATAGGTTTTGTTGTTTGAAACCTGACATGGTTGATTACTTCGGTGCCAAAAATAAGAGCTGTTTATTGTTCTTGCTTGGGTAAATACAACATCAAACTAAACAGAAACCAAAAATAAATTAAATAATATGTACACACGCACAAAAGAAAAGAAAAGAAAGGAAAAGCTATTATATATAAAGGCTCGAAAACGAGACTTTGATTTACACGACGACCATTTTAAATTTTGAACAAAAATTCAGTCTAAGATTTTTATGCGTCGCCCGTGATAATTTATCAGATGATCGGGAAAAAACTGAAGTCTGTTAGCTACAGATTAACAATTTTTCGTTTTCACATCTTTTTATGTTTATAAACCTAATCCTTACCGCTAAAAACGCGATGTTTTGCATGTGTATACATCTGTACATTGTGTTTTGACAAGTCAGATTTCGTTGACTCTACCTGCAAATCAAAATCATTGCACTGACGTGCAGAACCTTGTAATAAGAAACGCTAGCTTAATTTAAACCTTAAGAAGAAATTAGATTTCGTAAATGAATAATGTTGAGCGGATTTGGGCGTTTTCAGTATTCCTTTAATACCTCATAATTTCAAATATTGGTGAAAACCTGAAATCATGATTTTATATGTCGAGATGGCTTGAAGCGGTCATCGATCTTATTGTTTTCCATGTTGACCATGATTCTCCCTTTATTTCTAAGTTACGATCGCGACTTTTTGGACCTTCTGTGCCCTGCGTTGTTGATAAGGAAATATCAGACACTTTCTTTCTGTTCTGTTGCAGTTGGAGAAATTTTAAAAAGGCTCTTTTTAAACTGGGGAATTCTCCAGGCGTACAGATAGGGGTTAACACCCGAGTTGCACAAGACGATAAGGAACTGTAAATCACGTAACCAATGTATTGATAAACAACTACAGCTGGAACAAAAATTTAGCAAGTAAATCATGACACAGGCAGGCGTAAACGAGGCAAAAAACACAAGAAGAACAATCATCAATGTCTTCGCTGCTTTGCTCTCCTTTTTGGACGTTATAATGTTGTTTTGATTTTTTTGCTTGCCATATTCCGAGTCTTCGATGAGTCTTCTATTTCGCCAGTATTTGGACCGCGCTCTTAAGCGTCTGATTATTCCAATGTGTACGAAGATCAGAACAGCAAACGTACTGATCACAGCGGTGTTGGCAAAAATAAGAGAGTAAAAGATGAATCCGATTTTTAAGTAGATAAAAGAGAAGGCCAACGAGGCTATCCAAATCGTCACCGACGTATTTATCGCACGCTTTGAGGTAACCATGGTCTTGTATTTTACGGGTGAAGCTACAGCGAAATATCTGTCTGCCGTAAGCGCTGCGAGCGTCAAGATTGAAGCGGTACTCAGGATAAAGTAAAAAATATGTAGAATTTTGATAGATACTATTGTCAATTGTAGGGCCTCGCTGATGTGGTATACGACCGAAACAGGATCCATGACTAACCCCACCAGCAAATCTGTCCCGGCCAAACTCAGCAAGAAGTAGTTGAAAGGTGTTTTTAGGTTCCTAAACGGATCTTTTATGATGGCTAGACAGACGAGAAAATTTCCAGGAATGGTTAGAAGACACAGAAATGCTGAGAAGGATGCGGTGAAATAAGACAGCCCTGTTGGAGGACGAACAGCCGCACAAAGATTCTGATCGGAGAACGCCATCCTCATTTAAGAAATTGATCCGTTGATGTTTACGAAATCTCCTCCTTATTACATCCCTTCCTCTTCAATTTATGTTTGGATGGGATTTAAAAGCAGTCTTCTATTTTATCGCAGTAGGCTGTCAATTCAGACTCCGATTCGATTCACCACACGAAGTTCACGTGACGGCAAGGTGCTCTTAGTAGGTTTAGCTACGTAGCCGATTTTCCCAAGGTAAATGGTCTTCAGTGGCACTGCAATTAAACGTCTTGACACCAACTTGAAAATCACCGTCGATTTTTTTAAACTCGTTCCTGTATATTTTTAATCCTTAAACTCTTTGAACAAACGCCTGCACTTCGGCTTATATGGGACAAGCTGATTAGTTAATATAAGTGAATACGATTTGGTGAACACTTTCATCTGCACTGACATCAATCGTTTTCGCAATCCATTTTACACTTTTACAAATGATTTCTTCACGAAATCTATGTTTGAAATGATTCATTACATTGAGGACTTAATTGACTTTTACAATCCAGCTGCATGGCGAATATATAATCAAACAACAGGATGTGAAATAGATTTATGCTACATCTGAAAATAAGTAATTAATTGCAAAATAAAACACATAGTGTCTATCTTCCGCAAAAGGAAATAAAAATCATTTTTTTTACTGAAACGTGTGAGGATCTTGCTGTCCACATGAAAAGACATGCGGTATAAAATGACACTTCTACTTAGAAACACTTACTGACGCTTAAATATTGTCATTTTATTTAACCAGAAAAAAAGGTAAATAAGATTTTCGACAAGCTTTGCCAGCGTTGACAATCACGACTCACAGTGATTATTGCATGATTCATGCATTGGCCCACCCGTACAGTTTGCTGTGATTTGTTAAGCAGTCAGTGCATATACTTTCCGATTCCCTCGAAGCCCGAATTCCTTGCGTTATTGCGCTTTTGATGTTTTTCATTTAGTTGGTAAAAGTTATAAAGGTAGTAGAATTAATTGATGTCAGTGTTGAAATGGTTTTATATCATTCTTTGCCCCATGAATAAGTTTTACGACGGAATCCACCAGAAAATTGAGTAATTTTAATTCTCAGTGGACAAAAGCCTTGTACCAAAATAATTTAAAGAATATATTGCATTCTTTTTTACATTATTAATTTCAAGACCTAAAGAGGTACTTAGTCATCTGTAATAACTATTTCTCATGAGAGCCCGAGAAAATAAATGTCAAATTTCACAAGAATTTTGAAAACACAGGTAAAATTGTGAAAATTTCATGTGTAACTGGTTTGACATTCATTTTCCCGGGCTCCCATGAGAGATTTTCTTTGGTGTTAATACAGATGAGTAATTTCACACACTGATTTCATCTTTAGCCCTTGAAAAATGTAAAAAAAAAAGAATGCAATATGCTTTAAATTATCATTGTTCAAGGTTTTTGTCCACTGAAAATTAAAAATACTCAATTTCCTGGTGGATTCCGTCTAAACCCTTTAATTTAACCCTTTGTCTAAATACAAGATTATCGGTTATGTTGACGGAACTTCTTTCGGATCAGCTCACAGGAAAAAGGAAGTTATCATGTTACCTTGTTATTTATTATGGCTTTTTATCTTGTAACTTTTACAGTTTGATTCCATGTAACAGCAATCTACTCAGCCAAAAGATCTTTGAAAAATATTTTACTTTAAATTTTTACTCTTTTAAAGCAGCATGGCGGCTTAAGATCTGTAAGATTCAAGTTGTTTTACTTTTTTTATTAATTCCCTTTCTTTAATAGAGTCATCGTTTTAAACCACGAGTCTAATTAGCCCCACACGATTTGATGTTTGATGTTCTTGGTTCGATAGTGAAGGCTTATTGGTCCGATTTTACAAGTGTTTTTTTTATTTGTACTTTCAGGATTGCCAGGATAATGTATTTACATTGTTTAACCTCAGTTCAACATCCAGGGGTGACAATAATAATCAACTTGGAAATGACGCCAATTCCGTTTATCGCCTTTCACTGAAGACAATTCTTTATTGAAAAAATTCTAAAAACTTCAATCTTAAATGTTTTTAATATTTGGCTCTCAATGGGGAAAACTAGCAGTACATGTACTTGTAGTTGAAGGCCGAAAATAGATAACAAAAATAAAAAAAGAAATACGGCTTATTCATGCTGTAAGAAACCAAACAGTTGTATCACCGACAGGCGCTAATAGGCAAATCAGTAATTATGTTAATTAAAAAAAAAGAAGTAAATAAACAGAAAATTAAATAAATAGAATTAAAAATGATAAAAACTAAAACTGGTAAGCCTTTTTTCTATACTTATGCTGTTCTGGCTGTTGCGCTGATATATATTGCTTGACCCTTCTAAAAGAAAGTCTACAATTCTAGTGAATGAACACCTTATAGCGGCTGTTTCATTTATTTTCGTTTATGGAACTTTGTTTTTATCAAATTTTATGCAGTTTTGCGCTAATTGAATTGTGTGGCGATTTCCGCATTTTTTTTGTTGTTGTGATAGGCTTAGGTGTCCCCGAGAATAATTTATAATGGCAGGAGTAGTTTAGATTAAATACATCCCAATTAGCTATTCTGGAGGTTTTATTGACCAGTTGGAACTAGCTGAGGACTCGTTTTTAGCTGTTGAATGATGTAGTCAATCTATGGGCTTTCCGTGGAGGCGGTTGTAGGCCACTCGCTCAGTCGATCCTCATTAATTTTAATCATCAGTTAAACTGTACTTAGTCAAGATTAAACATTTTTCTCCTAACCTCCCTTTATAATTAAGGAGTTTTCCACAAGTCTTTCTCGCATTGTACCGCAGATTCTATGGGGATAATAGAAAGGCGTGTAAATGTTTGCCTTGCAGATAAAGTATAGGTCTTCAGTCATGAGAGAATCTCCTCATGAGAGAATCTCATCGCGGCCTCTGAGATGAAGATAGGGCCATGGAATGAATATATCAGTAGGGTTTGTGGTGAGTGAGGCCGTTTTAAGTTGACTGGTCGTGTAGAAGAATCATTGACTGGAGAGTTCCTTTTTTACATTAACATACGTGTTTCCTTTCAGAGATTGGAGAACTTTTCGTTTTTCTGATGACAGTTGGTTTTTGGCTCTTCAAAATATCTTTCAAGAGTAACAGATGGTTCTACTTGTGCCATCCACTTTGCTTTAACGTGATGAGGATGTGGTTTCGTCATTTTGCCCTTGATAGTGATTTATTTGTGGAAGTCAAAATAGAAATACGAACCAAAATAGCGCCATCAAACCAATGGAAAAAGTACAAATAAGATGATATCTTTTATCTCTGGAATCCCTCTCATTAAGACCACGTATATTGTTAAACTACCCCCTTTAACCTTAGTGGTCTAATCATATGGAACATCCCACGCAAAGCAAAAGTTCCCAGTGCATCCACAGGTAGCCCAAGCTCGAAATATGAGCATCGGCATTGTTGTGTAACATTCAAAATATAAGGATTTGTATGGGAAGAAAAACCTATCGTTTCTGTAACCTACGAAAATCAAAGAATTTCAATAAAAAACAGCTTACCTTACTTAAAATGTGTGTTACGTCTCTCCTGTGTGGTCCACGGGCCGATTTATGTCCGTTTTATGCCGGTTTTATGTAAACGGTTTTCTCTGTATATAAAGAGAGAAAACCGAAATATGGTATTTCTTTTCTCTTTTTTTGTTGTACGTCATTTCCGCCTCTCCCTTTAAACAATTTTTATTGCAACATTCTCCATCTATACAATATTGTAATTTCTATCATAAATTCAGCAACATCACTAAACCTGAAGAAGGCTGGTATGGCCAGCCGAATATTCTGAATATTGTTGTGAAAAAGCATACTCGTTGTTATGATCAGCTTTGCAGTAGTCACTGGACTTCTCGTTTTTTGGTTCTTAATATTTCAGCTGATTAGATCTCTTTTCGAGAGATCCAACCTTCATACATTCTCTACCTTAAAATAACAATCAATATTTTGTCCACAATACCAACTCTAAATCCCTTCCCCAGGGTCTCCTCTTTATCAAAAATAAGAAAACCCTGGGGACGAGTATTTGAAATCCGCTGAACAAAGTAATGCCGTCACAGCAAATGCGGTGGGATTGCAACTTTATCTGAGCTCTTCTGAGCTCTCTGAGCTTTGGACAGTTTCTCTATTGATCTCTGTGATTGCGCTTTCCACGACTAAGAAAGTCAATAGGTGAAAGCTTGTAGATCTCAAGGCATGTGACAGGTTGAGAGAACCAGCACCTGTGAAATGATGGCGTTTCGCTTTTACCTCCACTAAAATCACGGGGATCGGCTGCTGTCATTCATTGCGACCCTGAATTTCAACTTCATGGCATCTTTCTCTGTTTATCAGATAGACGTCTTTTATTCTCATAATGGCGAGCAATATTAGCGAAGATTCAGTGGAAAATAACAGTCCAGAAACCTTAGGCCTTAAGCCTCCCTCGCGGTCGAAATCGCGTACAAAGTCCGTGGACGAGCTTGTTGCTAAACTGGAGGAGCAAAACAGGTAAGAATATCTAGTACAGCCTACACTTTCCTCTTCTCTTGCTGGTAGATAAGATAAAACACGTCTTAATTCTCATTTCAAGAGATAGCCGAAACAGAGAGAAAGCGAAAGCAATTCAGTATGACGAGTTCGCATGTTTTGAGCTTCATAATAAGCTTATTTTCTTTCTATTTCCTCGGGTAGAACCTGTTTAGCTTGACAGAAATATGCATAACCTTATATTTAACGTCTTTTCTTCTGCATTTTAATGATTGAATTGTCAATATCTCCCCTTCTCTTATCTTTATACTGTTTTGAGAAGAGAGCTACTCAAAATACATTATTCATTTCGGTGAACATGAACTCTTATGCATTCGATCAGTGCCAGTGCGGCTTTCATGCACTTCAATGTTATTAGTAACAAATAATTATTGAGAGCGCTAAATTATTTTTAAAAATCCTTGGGTGACGCATTTCCGGTAAATAGGCATGGTCAAATTTTTAGTTCCAAACATTTAGTACATTTAACATTTCATGTTATTATTATTTTTTTGCAACATCTATGTTGCAGGTAATTTTTTTATCCCAGGTAATATTTTGTTTTTCTTTTGTTTTTTTGGTATGGCAATGTATGCTAATGAAGTTGAAACAAAGGAAAAATAAAAATTATCTAGGATAAAAAATTAACTACAACATCTACAAAAGCTTTCAATATTTAAAATTTTCTCTACTCAACACTACATAAACTCAATTTGTTTAAATCTTAGACCTTGAGTGGTGGGAGCACTTTTTAAAGTGACTGATTTTTTTTTAGCTGTTATTTTGATTTCTAAGGATTGACGGAAATCTGTAAGAACCCTGAGTTTTCTCCCACATTAAGCATCACACAAAGCTGCATCATACAAAGTACAGTTGTAATAATCATTGTAATCAGTAAAGGTCATTAAAGGTCATTTTATTATTTTTCACTGTTTCCATCATTAATTCAAGGGAGACAGACTAAAAACAGATGTTTCTGTTAAAAATATCTAACTGATTACTGTATGTTAATTTATTTGTGCAGTTTTCTTATAGGCTTTTTTCAATAACACCACTAGAAATATTTGTATCACAGAATTTCTCTAGGGAATTACAATCTCTCCAAGAGAAATATTGAAAACAATGCTTAAGCAAAATTTTGGAGGGAAGACAAAATGTTTTATGGTATTTTTGAAAAAGGCTTATATTATTAAATATTGCACTCACTAATGAGTTTACAGATAAGTTGGATATCTGCTTACAGATAACTGACTAATCTATAGATTGAATGCACAGTATAATTGTCATTTTCAAGACCAATGTTAGCCTGCCAGTCATGTGACAGTGTGTTTTTCTGTCATTTTCTTCACATCTAAGAACTGAAATCACATTCAATGAGATGCAATTCATGTTGCACAGGAAACGAGACGTGACTGGTAACGTACTTTTGAGTGGTACTGTATAACTCTCACTCATTTGCACTAGATTTGGCACACAGGGAAAATGTGGATAACTGAAATAATAATGCACACTGTAAAGCTCTCCGTAAGTGTTATCAGCCTCAGATTTAGCCTTGGCAGATAAAACTTACCTAGACCTTGATTATTCAGAGAATACCACAAGAATCTCATCCAATAATTGTTTAGGGTCTTACTTTCCATGCCAGGTTGCTTAGCAGTGATGCAAAAGCCTTGACAACAATTCCTGATGGCGCCATATTATCACCAGCCACCAGCAACAACAAAAGATGGTCATCATGCAGTGTAGGAAGTAATTCCTTAGATGGTGCCTCCGCAGATTCCCCAGAGACACCAGAAAATTATGAAGAAGTCTGTGTGGAGGCTGACACCTATCACCAATGGGGACAACTCATCGGCAACTGGAATGACACACACAAGAAGAAGCCCAAACTAGTAAGGGAGATGGTGAGGAGAGGAATTCCCAATGCTTTACGTGGAATGGTGTGGCAGCTGCTTTGTGAAGCAAGGGATCTTCCACTCAAAGATCAATATCCTCAACTTATTAAGGTGACTAGTTGTGTTAGTGGACCCTAAAATTCCAAAAGTAAGCCCCTCCATGTATAAGCCCCTCCAAATATAAGCCCCCCAAAATCGTAATGCAAAAAAACCCTCCCTTAAATCACCCTTCCGAATATAAGCCCCCTGGGGGGCTTGTACTTGAAATTTGCCCTCGAATACAAAGTAAAACAAAGCAATAATGATAAATTTCCTTCCCACTACAAGCTAGCCCAATTGATTTTGAAACGCAAAATTTCCCTCCATACATAAGCCCCTCTGAATATAAGCCCCTCAAAAAGGGCCTTTGAAAAATATAAGCCCTGGGGCTCATTTCGGAATTTTATGGTATGTTATTTGTGTGCAATTATACCCAATGTGGTGTTGGATCTCAAAGTCAGACGACAAATATTGATTGTTAAATTTATTTCCAACAAAAAAGCTAAAGCAACTTGGAAGGAGAATACTTCTCTTTTCAAAACACACTAGAGAAAACTCCCCATTTTCCAACCAGGTACTGATGTTCAAATCCTATAGATGTTATTTTATTGCTACAGTTAGGAGTAAGGACATGTCTTTTTTCGGCAGTGAACTATTAGATAGCAGATTCATCTTAAGTTTGGAAAACCTTCATTACATGCTTTCTGTTCAAATAGGTCGTAAAATTTTGTAATATTTGATGTACATTGTATAATGTCAGTTTGTTATCACAATATTGTTTGAGCCAGCAGACTTGTGAAATTGACAAAGACAATTATTTATAATTTCTTAATTCATGCTCAAATTTGGTGTTTTAGGCACTTAATCTACTACAGGTAGATGTTTTACAAATAAATAATTTTATTAAATTGTAGCTATTCTTGCCTGGAGTTTTTTTAGTTGTTGTATCATGATACATGTACAATGTACAGTATCCGTTATTTGTGTAGAGCAACTCAGCCTGTGAGAGGATGATCAAACGCGACATTGCTAGGACTTTTCCTGATCATTCATTCTTTAAAGACAAGGATGGAATTGGGCAAGGAACTCTCTTTAATGTCATAAAGGTAACGTGATATGAAGTGGTTGACTTATGTTTGTGATAAAGTGCGCAATGTACATGTAGTTACAGGAATTCGTAGCATGAGTGTAACTTGGTAATCATTAATATTGTTTGTTTTTCCAGCTTAGTTAAGATCTTCAGTGTTCTGAAGACAATATTGTCAGACAATTTATTGTCAGTCAGCAAAGTTTAGATATTGTTTCTGCAGCCTTCTCCTTGATTGAGCCTAGCATGGTTGTGAACTTTTTGTGGAACTGGCTCTTTTTCTTGGTTTGATGTATTCTGACAATCAGTCATTGAGATATTATTATTTTATTCGAGGACATTATTATTAATTCGTTCTACAGAAATAATAATATTAGAACCATCTGGGGCAGCAGATGTATGTTTTCTTCAGATTAAAAAATGAATATTTATTGGCAGTTTTAAAATAGTACAATGTATTTTATAATAATGACATGTAACTTCCCTGGTAAATAGTGCCAATACCATGGATACTAATTGTTGGGCATCACTACATTGATAAACATCTTTCCTAAAAGTGCACATAGCTTGTCACACAGGAAAGCACCATTTTATGAGAATGAATGTGTTTATACAACAACTCTTTGTTTGAGAAATGAAGGTTTTATTTAATTTAAATTATTTAGTGGTTAACCCCTTAACCCCCCTAAAGATTCTCATTTGTAGCCTCTATTCATTCCCTATAAAGCTAGTGGGTTGAAGTTAAGAAAAGATGAAGTAATTTCATCTTGTATGATCATACCCTTAATTCTCAGTATCCCACTGTTTTATAAAACTTACATGTACATGTAAGATATTACAAGGAGAAATTGAACGCTGATCACTCTTAAGGCTTAAAGGGTTAAATCATGTGGATGACTGGTACAAAAAATGAAAAAGAAAATTTAATTATGTTATTCATGCTAAATTGTAATAGGCTTACTCCATTTGGGATAAGGAGGTTGGATACTGTCAAGGAAGTGCATTCATTGTTGGCATATTGTTAATGCAGGTAAGATTAAGCTTGTATAAATTTGCCTCTGTTGTACATGTAGGATAAGCAGAGTTGGTTTGATCTATTCTTGATAAGTCAACTTCTTTCCTGACTTACATGTACAGCAATGCTGTAATATTGAAATTGCTGTGCTTTAAAACTCAAAAGTAAAAAGCTAACCAAAATTTGCTGAATTTGCGACACGTCTCGAACTCACAGCTTGTTGAACTTGACTGCTCTGCCTGGCTGTCTATTCCTGATAATTATTCAAGTCAAAGATTAATTTATCAGTAAAAATTATTTCATGGTTGTCGCAAGATTTGGAGTTCAGCAAACAAGTTATTCGATTCAGGGTTATACTATACAGTGTCTCGCACAAGAAACATCTGATCTACAAGCATTTTAATCAGGTTTTAAATGTCACTCTCTTCACTTAATGCAAATTTGCCAAGCCCCATCCTCTGCCTTAGTCTCAATTTTCAATCTCACAGTTATTTACATGTAGTTGCTGTTTCACCTGTGTTAAAAAATTCAAACAACTCCTCCTCTGTCAGTCAAAGTGGTTCATGTCATGAACGCTGATTAAGAAAACTATGTGGTTAAATAGTCAATAGTATTCACTTGAGATCAATTGACAGTAATTTATGTACAGCACTAAGTTGAGAGTATGTATAGTAACTTCCTTCTTAGTGAAATTAGAGATGCTTCACACTTACATGTACCTATTGTAAATACTTCTAATTACATTAATTTTCTATTCTTCTTTTGTAGATGCCCGAGGAAGAGGCATTTTGTGTATTTGTAAAACTTATGCAAGATTACAGAATGAGGGAAATATTTAAACCAACAATGGCAGAACTGGGCCTTTGTATATTTCAGCTAGAAAGCTTCTTACAGGTACATTTTGGACAGAGGAGGCAACATTTTGTTTTGTTTTCTTGTATGCACATACATAGCCTGAGGAAACAGCCATTGTTTTGCGATGCCACCACTGGTCTCACCGTCGAGGAAATGACTTTTGAGAAATGAGCAAGGAGTTTCCATACTGATGATGTGTGACTACGCAGATCTGGGTAGCGCTTCTGATTGGTAGTGCCACTTGGGAAATTTGCCTCAGCCAATCAGGTTGGAATGATGATTTGTCATCAGTATGGAATTTCTTTGCACATTTTTCAGAGGCCATTTTCGCGGGGAAATCAGTGGTGGCATTGTGTAATCTCGCATGTTTTATCATGCTGGTACATACACAGACAATAATAGCTGTATTTACCGGTACTCAATAAATCACTCCAGAACGTGCAAATTCATGCTTATTGCTGTGATAAAAAAAAAAATACAATAATAAGGCACTGCCTCAGTAAGGCACTGGTCATTGATTATGGTTCTTTTGTCATTGCTGTTGCCTTTTTCACTGAAATGATTGCTGAACCTAGTCATACCAGTGCTTTAAAAAAATGGTGCTTTCACCTTTAAGAACTGGAAGAAAGACTAGACCAGTGTTATTTTGTGTCTTTTATATAAAAATATCAGTGGTGCTGCCATTGTTGATGCCACTGATTGGTATTAATCTAAGTTTATTTTTTATTCCTTTAAGGAGAGTCTGCCTTTATTGTTTTCACATTTTCAAGCCCAGGTTAGTTCTGTACATAGTTATGGAATGAACATGATCTACTGCGGCTTTTTTTTTCATTATACCTACTACCTAAATTGATAGAAGTACATGTATATGTGGAAATGTAGTTTGATACATGTAATACATGTAATTATTGACTGTCATCCATTCACTATCCAGGTGTCCGGCTCCAAGTCTCCCCTCTCCCCTCCCCTCCCATGCAGGTTGAATCACTGAAAATTCCAATGGCCTGGGAGGAGGAGCAGGGTCTCAGTGGCCAAAATTGTGGAAGAAAAGTATGACACCCACCAACATGTACAAACCAATAATCCCTTCTTGGGAGGAGTATGGATATTTTTCTGGAGTAACTCATCTACAGGCTGTATGTAGATTTTGACATGACATCGTAGAAAGGAACGTTGTGTTGGAAGATTAATTTTTTTCGTTATAATAGTTTAAAAGAGCTAGTTACACTGTACGGTTTCTTAATCTTGAAAAACTTTAGCCAAAATTAACTTTTTAAGTGAAGTGTTTCTAATTGCTTTTAATCTCCTTTTTTCTTGTCGTAGGGTTTTCACACAGCTATGTATGCATCATCGTGGTTCTTGACACTGTTTGCTTCTGTGTTTCCCCTGAATGCTGCGTTTAGGATAATGGACGTTTTCATTTGTGAGGTATTGCTCCAGGATGGTTTTGCAATGCACATGTCACTTAAATAAATTAAAATGTTGAAGTGTTTGACACTTTGTTCTTTCCTAGTAAGTGTGAGAGGCAGCTTTTTTTTTCTTTTTCGGTAACATTTTTGAATTCTAGCACATGCACAAATAATTTGAGTGTCCCAGGACAGGAAGTATACTTATTAACAATTACTAGGCAATGGAAAGCCTATTAATAGCGAAGCTCTTCTTCGGTGTTCTCTCGGATGGGAACCCCGTTGTAATGAATGGGAAATGGCCATATTATTATTCTGTTGTCGTTGTTGCGTGACTGCGTACGTACATCAGTAAAGGAAACATGCACTGCGCATGCGCAATAGCAGCCCCTGGTAAGCCGTATTTATCTCGGCGGGAATTCGTACGTCCTTAGAAGAAAAAAGTGATTTATCCAAAATAATACGTATACTTTCCTAGGTTTTTAACTCAGGCTTTTGGAACGTGTTGTTTTGCTCTTTTTTAGTTTAATTGCCTTTTTTTTTGCAAGGTTTTGATCTTTTAA